CGGCTAGCTCGTAGACACCCACAAGCGAGAGAACCAGACCTTGGCCGAAGTAGTGATCAGTTGTAACATACCCGCAAAACTCTTCTAGATCCTTATTTCTATGGTCTTCACATACATACCTCACCCTGCGGACGGCGAACTCCAGCATCTTCTTCGAGACCTTTTCGAAACAATCCCTGTCGCTGTGGAAAGGTTGATATGGGCAGTACTCGAATCTGGTGAAGTCAACGAGTCGTCCGGGGACGATGGGATTGAAGAAAGAGTTGTAGGCGTCATGGGTCGGACACTGCTTAGTGCCGATGCATGCAGTGGTGGCGAGTTGAAGAGCACGGGAGCGCATGAAGATGTAACCGTTCAAGAACTGGTCGAGCGAGGCGATTCCCTTCTTGAGGTGATCACAGAACTCGTCGGTGGGTGAGAAGTGACTTCTCCCAGGTGACCTGGGGCCTGGGTCGGGTCCAGATCTCCGGCAAATCTCAGTGATCTGCTGGATGAAATACGCGTTGATGGCCGTGCTGTGAATAGTTTTGCATTTAGAACAGAACCGGTAGCGATCCCTTCCACTTGCAAGATCTCCGTCTCCGAGAACCTCATCCAGCTCACGGCTATTGGGGTTAGGTGGTGGAGGAGCATCCATCAGGGCTTTGTCTATGAACTTGTGGACATCCGGATTACCAAGGAGAGCCGCGAAGTTTGCAACTTGATCGTCAGCGGAAGGATCAGCCTGGGTGCTTAGGACACCGGCGATGGTTGCGAAGATATTCAGCAGACGAGTCATAGATGATAGGGGTGAGTAAACTGAAGACGAGGACAAGCCAATGGAAAGTTGGAGAGAAGCTCTCGATCGGGTCTGATGGAGGCTTCCTCGCACGAATAACTAACAAAGTCGGGCTGTTTTGCGCGATGAACCGTGACGTGACGCCACCGTGACGCCGTCACGTCACTCTCGAAGGAAGAGGAGACGTCACGGTACTGGTCTCGCGTGCCGTCGCAGCTACATTAAGGTACCGAAATGTACGGAGTTGGAGTTCCAATGATGATAACTCATTAGTGATAAGACAATCTCTCAGAATCCACGGATGAGACTCTCATGATCATGCGAGCGACGAGCCCACTGTCATTTGTCAGAAATGTAGAGGAGAGTTGCAGGGCATGACAGAGTGAAATCCGATTCTCAAAACGTGAAGCGTGAGATGAGTTGGTGACGCGACTTTTAGACGATGTATTGCATCATGCAAATTCGCCTACAATGAGACAACAACTAGCGAATGTAGTACATGCAACCACACGCTGTGAACTACGCATTCCTAAGTCAATTGATTGTTCATGAAAACAATAAATGCCCTTCGTCGATCCTCTTGAGGGATTGTCCGATAACGACACCCGATCACGCTACCGGTTCTCGAAGGAAGCTCTACAAGCTCTATAAGGAAGCTCTAGCGCTCAGCTTCCTCTTAGAGCTTCTGAGTTAGAAACCCAGAGTTAGTTGATTCCGAGTGAACATATTGAAAAGTTTGAAGTGCGGATGTGTGCAAGTGCGACAAAAGATCTTCTTCCGAAATTTTATCATTGTTGTAGCGTAACGGGAGATGTGCATGCATTCGGAGCGAATCTGCTAGGTTCTACCCATGTAAAGTTACGTTTTCTTCCTTTCTTGGAATTGTAACTTTCGGTTCTGGGGCGTAGCGAGTCGCTACTAGCGACTGTAATCTTCTTCTTGTCAACAATGTCCGATTCAAACTCTGATTCCCCGATTCTCGAAAATACTCATATTCAATGGAATCACCCGAATAATCAGCCTCATGAGCAAGGCATATTGAGTAAGAGTATTAATCAGCCAAAAAATCAACTTTAGATTCTCGAATAAGCTCAGAGATCCACATATCCTCGCGATGATCCTGATTTCTCGCTCCAGAGTAAATAATCAGTGAATCAGGGGTTATTACTCACCATCTGATTTTTTCATCTGAGTAAATACTCTGACTCACCTGTTGCATCAGGATCCGCAGACGGCCCCTAGACGGCACGTTACCCTTCCCTCTCCTCTTGAGTCACTCCCCTAAGTTTCCGTACCTCAGCTACATCTACTGTAGAGGCTCTACAAGCTCATCAGTACTTGTGTTATCCAGTCCGTGGGCTTTACTATCACATCACGCCTTTCCGCTACATCTACTCGAACCCGTTACAATTTCGTGCGCCAAGATAGAAATTTAATGGGGTAGATCTTGGTGCAATATCTGTGACGACCCGTGAAAGCGAAGCAAAACTTGTACATTCTTGCTTCTTATCATAGATCGCGCCGGATATCTTGTCGTATTAATGGGTCGGACTTCATCGACTACTCAACTCGATGAAAACAAAACGACATGCCATGCTCCATGCGACTCGCATGGTCATGCATTTGCCGGAGTAAGTTCGCATGTCAGAGGGGTGAGCATTATAGTAGAGCTCTTCCCTGCTTCCCTCCAGTTAGTCGAACCTATTAACCTTCATGGCGATTTTCATCCAATACGGGCGCCTCTCGAGCGTCTCTTCCCCATTAGCAGTTCGGAGTACAGTTTTGATGTGCCTTCGTATATGCACTAATCAGTTCGCTTCGTACATCCACCTCCATTCACCCAGTGAGATTCACGAGTCGCGATCCTATCACTCATGTCGGCGACTACTGAGTGGTGGTCTCCGCGGCGTTCTGATCTGGTCGCCGTTCAGACTGACTCATCTAGTAGAGGACATCTCGGAGAGGCTGATCGGGGCATTCTCGCCGGAGTTCGAAGATCAGATAATACGAA